AAAACGGGAACAAAAAAAGAAATAAAATGACAAAAAATAAAAAGAGATAATCCAGGGGATGAGGGAAAGTAAAATAAAATAAAATAATGAGAAAGAAGATTTAAGAAGGAAAGATACATTAAGGAAAAAAGATATTAAAGAAAACAAAAGGAAGTAGAATAAATAAAAGAGATCTTACAAATTAAAAAAAAAGGAATAAAAAGAAAAAAGGATACAAAACAAATAAAACAAAACAATAAAACAAACAAACAAAACAAAACAATAAAGCAAATAAATAAAACAAACAAAACAAAACAACAAAACAAATAAACAAAACAAACAAAAGAAACAAGACCAACAAAACAAGCAAAACAAACAAAACAAACAAACAAACAAAACAAAACAAAACGAACTAACAAACGAAACAACAAAACAAACAAATAAACAAAACAACAAAACAATAAAACAAACAAACAAACAAAACAGACAAACAAACAAAACAAAACAACAAAACAAATAAAACAAGACAATAAAACAAGCAACAAAACAAACAAACGAACAAACAAAACAAACAAACAAACAAACGAACAAAACAAAACAAACGAACAAACAAAACAAACAAACGAACAAACAAACAAAACAAAACAAACAAACAAACAAACGAAGCAAAACAAACACACAAAACAAACAAATAAACAGACAAACAAATAAACAAACGAAACAAACAAACAAATAAACAAATAAATAAATAAACAAATAAATAAATAAACAAATAAATAAATAAATAAATAAAAAGCACCGTGTCTAGAGTGCAGTATCCAGGCCCTTCTTGGAAGTTGGGAAAGATTTTGGAAATCATGAAAAAGATTTTAAAAGAAGAAAAAACTTTTCCTGGAAAGACAACAGCGTCGCTGCGCAGGTACGGGGCTGCATGCGCGAGAAACAGCTGCTGCTCGTCCACAAACAGCGCCTTGCTGCTGCTGCTGCTGCTGCTGCTGCTGCTCAAGGAGCCCAGGCACTGCAGCAAACTGTCCGCACCAGCCTGCAGGCTACGTACCAGATCCCCCAGCGCCCACGGGCCTCCCCTGCTGCTGCTGCTGCTCAGAAGCAACCTGCTGCTGCTGCTGCTGCTGCTGCTGCTGCTGCTGCTGTGGGGCAAAAGAAGGGACGGTTCGTGTGCACGAGCGTACAGCTCCGGAAATTCGCCCGCAGCATCACTTGCTGCGCCCTGCTGCTGCTGCTGCTGCTGCTGTTGTTGTTGTTGTTCCTGCTCCTGCTGCGGTTGTTGCTGCTCCTGCTGCTGCTGTTCTTGTTCCTGCTGCCCCTGCTGCTGTTCCCGCTGCTGCTGCTGTTGCTCCTGCTGCTGCTGCTGCTCCTGCTGCTCCTGCTCCCGCTGCTGCTGCTCGGCCTGGATTTGGCTGGCTCTTTCGGCCGGCGTTTCGAAAGCAGCAAGGCGCAGCAGATCTGCACTTTCTCCCCTGCTTGCTGCTGCTGCTGCTGCAGCAGCAGCAGCAGCAGGAGGTTTGAAGGCAGACGGCAGCTGCACGTCGGGAGGCGGCAGGTAAAACGTCTCTCCCAGAAACTCCTGCTGCTCGGGGTCCAGCAGCGGCTGCTGCAGCAGCAGCAGCCCCTGCTGCTGCTGTTGCTGCTGCTGCTGCTGCCTTATGCCAATTACCTTTGTGTCTCGCCCCACACCCGATTTAATGGACCAAAAGGAGTGCTGCAGCAGCGCCAGCAGCTGCAGCCGCTGCACTGGCCTCGCAATAGCTTTGCTGCTGCAGTGCAGCAGCGTGCTGCTGCTGCAGCTGCCTCCCGACGCCGGCTCGCTTGCTGCTACAACATACGGCAGATAGGTGTCCCCTGCTGCTGCTGCTGCTGCTGCTGCTGCTGCTGCTGCTGCTTCGGCAGAAGCAGCGTCTGCGCTCGGAAGGAATGGCAGCACAGTGACAATGTCTGCAGGTGCTGCTGCTGCTGCTGCACCTACTGGCGTGTCTGCTGATGCATCTGCTGCTGCTGCTGCTGCGTCTGCTGCTGCTGCAGCTCCCAGCTTCGCATAAAACACGCGGCCAGGATATATGCGCGGGTCCATTTGCTGCAGCTGCCGCAGCGCAGCAGCAGTAGCAGCAGCAGACAGCGTGTGGGGGTGGTCAACAGGCAGAATCTGTACTCTCTTAAGTACAGGTAGCGGGGTTGCTGTTGCTGTTGCTGCTGCTGCTGTATCTGCTGCTGCTGTTGTATCTGCTGCTGCTGCTGCTGCCGCCGGCAGCAGCAACGGGCTTGAGCCGCAGCTGCTGCTGCTGCAGTGTGCTGCAGCTTCGGGGCTAAGCAGCACACTCGGGGAACAACTGGCTGCTGGAGATGCCACTGCTGTTGCTGCTGCTGCAGCTGCTGCTGCTGGCATAGGTAGCGTCTCGGGTGAGCGCAAGCTTGCTGCTGCTGTTGTTGGTGCTGTTGCTGCTGCTGCTGCAGTTGGTGCTGCTGTGTTGTCTGCTGCTGTGCATGCAGGGCCCGCAGCAATGTCAGCGGAATTGTTCACACTCTTAGGTGCTGCTGCTGCTGCTGCCTCCGCTGCTGCCATTGTTGCTGCTGCTGCTATGGCTGCTTCTGCTGCTCCTTCCGTCGTTGCTGTTGCTGCCGATTCTGCTGCTGCTGCTGCTGCTTCTTGGCTGATACTGATGTAGGACGACGCGCCGAGGCTCTCTGCTGCTGCTGCTGCTGCTGCAGCGCATGAGGCTGCTGAGGCTGCTGCTGCGGGCAGCATGGCCTTCAAGTGACTCTTGCTGCTTGGTGCTGCTACTGCTGCTGCTGCTGCTGCTGCTGGCAGCACAGGCTCCAAAGGACTCCTGCTGCCTGCTGCTGCTGCTGCTGCTGGGAGCATGGACTCGAAGGGGCTCTTGCTGCCTGCTGCTGCTGCTGCTGCTGCTGCTGGCAGCAAGACCTCCAAAGGACTCCTGCTGCCTGCTGCTGCTGCTGCTGATGCTGGGCTCCGCAGCAAACGAGGTGACATTCTTTCCCAAGAGCGTC